CATTCTCTGTGCATTATGCGTGAGCTAAATGTGTGAGGAGGACAAACTAAATAAATGAGCAGAGAAAGAGAGGAGAGGATGCACAGATGTGAACTCAATACGCTGGGAAAAGAAACACAGCCTCAATAGAGCATAATCTATTGCCACTTAGTCTAAATCAGTTTTGTTGCATGTATAATGCATATGGAGTAATTGTGTGGATACTTCAATTAAAGAATATTTAATGAAACAAATATGTTTCATGGCGATCAATTGTGTGGATTCTTGAGGAATCAAGAATATTTCATTTATATCTTTCCGTGCCAAATAGAGCCAAAACAGATAGCTACTTGTAAAATCAAATATAATTCAAACAATATTTGCTTATTTGGAGGAAATATTGTAAGTAAGTCCTTTTCACATTTAACTTGGCTGCCAGGTGCAGAGGCCTTCTTCTCAGCTGACTGTTCCATCTTCTCAAATCTCACGTTTCGTGCTCAGGTATTTACCCAGGTGACAGTGAGATGTGAGGACTGGATCACTCAGATCTGCGCTTCTTTTATGTGCTCTAAATGCCACAATGTGTACGCATCAACCAGGACCCTTTTCACGGAGCTCTGACTCATTCCTGTATGAATAGATCTGTTTACTTTGGAAAGCAATTTAAGATGAATCTTCTCACATAAAAAATAACCTACTATTTAGTGACAAACCTGCATTTTGTGTGGAATACAGTAGGTCTGACAGCTCTGAAAGGTATTGTGCTTCTCTCTGTCAGCATGTAATTACAGACAAAAACACGCATTTCAGATTAAATTCTGTTTACCTGTGCCACCCGTCGACAGGATTATGATATATGCCGGAGCCATTTGTGGGAATTTATGAATTTGTCTTGCCTCTTTATAAAATTATGGTATACTCTTTTTAAGGTTTGTGGTTTATTTTTTATACTTTAGAACTGGTATACGCTAGTTGTACAAAGTTTAGCAAATACCTTTAGCTGAAATTAATAGGACATTTCTTGGGCCCTTTATCACTAATAACTAATTTCTTTTTGTGCAAGTTTTGCACAACTTGGATCTGTTTCTCTCATTAATGATGCTAGCCATTCACGGTTCCACATTTTCCAAGCTAGGGCTTCTGAAAATGAAAAGTCAGAAGGCAAAGACTCTTGTAAAACTCTGTCTGACCTCTCTGCGATGCTCTTTTACTTTGCTAGCTTAAGGCCAACTCCTACATTTCAGCATGCAGCTGATGGAAGGGTTCAAAGGAGCATTTGAACAGAAAATATTCATTTTTCCCAATTGTTGTGGCACCTTTAATTTCATTAGGTTTTCCCCATACCCCGCAGGAGAGCTGAGTTTCTAGGGCAACAATCAGAGTAATAGTCTTGTCCATGCAATCTGCTAAAAGGCCCCGCGGCCCACAGGCCCAGGTGTACCTGGGGATTAGTACAAGGCGGGACAGGTGAACTCAGCATGGAATCACTCACAAGTCATACTGATGATAACCACGCACCCATTATTGCAGGGACTTTCCATTGTTGTCATATTGAGCGTATTATTTTTTTATGTTATAACTTATAACCTTACTCCTCACCCACGCAGAAACCTTTTTGCGTTTTTAGATTTTAATTAAAACATTATTTAGTCATTTTCCTCATGGGGACCATTGGGAGGTTCCCAGAATGCAGGTCTGGTCAGGTTATACCATCCTGTGGGAACAAAATGTGTAATATTGAGTTAATTATTTTTCTAGTTATTTTATATATCCTAAACCTACACCTACACTTAAATATGACCCATATTTGCATTTTTATTTTTTAATTAAAGCATTATGCCCTTTATGTGGAAAGGTTCCCAGAATGTAAATGATTTCAGGTTTTTCAGGATGTATGTTGCCCACAAAGTTAGCAAAACATGACCTGCACACACAAACACTGAGGTGAAAATAAACATTTTCCCAAAGAAAGTATAGAGAATATATATAAATATATATGTATGTGTGTGTGTGTGTGTTCAAGTATCAGTATTAAATGGTTTGAATATTACATTTCTTTATGGATATTACATATACATTCATACATACAGCCCATAGTTGTAATGTAACACATAGTGTTACATGAGAACATGGAGGCTACCATACTAATAAAGCTTAGTATGATCAGAAGAAGAAAACATATCTTTCTTGAAATCTATGGCATGACTTCCTTTCCGGCACAGCAGGGATAATTAGTCTGTGGTTTGGGTCAGCTCGATAATTCCTGAAAATAATTTTCTGTTATCCCACTCCATTACTTACAGACTATTTTTAGGGCTTACCCTTATGAATTTAAGGGACAAGTGCTTTTCAAATTTTGAAAGACAAAGCTAATTTAATGTTAGCAGCTAGACATTTATTTGAGCATCTTTCTTATAATGACAATAATAGCATGTGCGTGATGTTCTCATTGTCTCTCTTCAATAAACAGCATCATTTTCCATTATTCACCCTCTTTACCCCCACCGTTCCGTCACTCTCTATCTCTCTTTATGTCCCTCACACTCCTTATCTTCTCTCACCTCACTGTTACACGGCTCATCATGAGTTACATTTCCAATTAATCTCAACGTTATTCAGTCTGAAGCACTGCAAATCTTATCACAATTACCATCTGCCCAGTAACTGAAGATGCGTTTGAGATATGCATGTGAGGTAATGAAAGCAAACCGTGTTCCATTAGTAAGCTCTGAACTTATCTGAGCCGATGACACTTGCAGAGTATCAAATCGTTATGACAGTTTTCTCAGCTATAACGTCTTATGGACTGAATTAAAGAAGCAGAAAAGTAATTCTAGGTCCATGCTCACAAATCTTTTATCATTATTAAATGATTCTTAAACAGTAATGTCAATCATTCACTCTTTTGGTGCTTGTAAAATCCTTTTTTTTTGTTTTGTATTTTATGACCAGGTAAAACTGTGAATTCTGGAATACATCCATGTTCCATGAAACTAAAGAGGGAGAGTTAAGGGGAATCATCACTGGTCTGCTGGAATTATAAGCTTTCAAAGTCAGGTTTGTATAAAAGACTGCCAGACACATGTCATTTTAACAAGAACATCGTCTGACACTTTTAATCAGACTTTTTTTTCCTAACAACCATTTTTAACGTGTCTTCACAGGATGTCTTCACAGGATAATATTTATTTTTTAGCCACTTAAGCAGGTGTAAATAAAGTGTATATACACGAATTTAACCTGATATATGGTGAGACAAAGTAAAAGTAGTGCTGCATGTGCACCCATGAAACCCATGTCAGAATTTTTTTCAATTTAAGATCAGGTCTAAATTCTCAATAAATATAAATTATAAACATAAAATAGTTGTTTACAGAGCATTTTCCCATGTCTGCTTTTAGCAATACTGCAGGTCAGCCACTCTTCCCAGACTCTAATAGATGGTCTTCCTCTATCTGCATTACAATTACAATTTTTCAAAAGATTCCGCTTCCTTAGGTAAGTGGATGGCCGTTTGAATAACCTGTTTAGATTTTAGCCCCTGCTTACACAACCAAAACCAGAGAGATCTGACTGCAGTGTTCTGAAGGGTAGCATTGTAGCAGTGAAACCAAATGGACAAGCTGGACAATTAGTCTGTATTCAGCATCTGAAATGACTCAAAAGCACATATAAAATCTGTCGCCCTCTTGTGGTTTACTTGAAAACACTTTCATGAATGCATGCACTGATTGAACCTGATTGAAAAATGCTGGGAGGCATGCATGACTGTGAATTGTAATTGTGTTACTAACACTATTACTGAATCTATCATTAATAGCCTACTTTCTAACCATCCTTCATTATCAAACCACCCTTAATTAGCCTAATTATAATCATAGAAGATCAGAATTAGAGACAGCCAATTACATGGTAAAGGCCAAAATTGAATATCATGGCTAGGCTCAGGGGCGTCGGACTGGGGGTAAAACCAGTACTGATTACCAGGGCCCCAAGGGGAGAGAGGGCCCTTGAAAAGTCTGGAATATATTTTATTTGGAACGTGGGGGCCATCAGGACTGCCTATACATAGGGCCCGGGATCTTGTGCTACGCCCCTGGCTAGGCTATAATACATAACTTAACCAATTTTCTTTTGTTATGTTTAAAATGTAGTACATTTTAACAACAACAATACTAGCCTACTAGTACTGGCAAAGTAATGCAGCTCACCTTGATTAAGAAACAATGAAAATGGCTATGAATAAAACTATTGTAATTCTATCAATAAAATATAATAGTATACGTATTATGTAGGCCTATGCGTGTGTGTTTTATAAATTTTGTAACAACATTTACATGTCGTAATAAACATTTAGTTATATATTAACAACATTGTTGTTAATATATTAAATATTTTTTGTCTTCGTGAATCCCGGAGTCCGTCTCCGGGCTTTTCGTGTTTCCATTCACATCTCAATTCTTGGCTGTGTTCGCCAGCGCTCAGTGTGGGAAGGTTGATGTTGATGATTGGCTGATGGGAGATGAGAGTCTGGAGGCTCGCGCTTCATACCCGCGTCCGTGTGTTTACACTCAGTACTCGAGACACAGACGAGCGGCAGCGTCAGGACTATGGCGCTCCACAGATAACAGCGGAGATCTCACAACTATGGCATTATATTCAACGCTTACGGACAACTTTTCCTTCTCGTCCCAGCAGGAATAAAGCTGTCAAGTACTTTTGTTTTCGATTCGTTCGCGGAAGATTCGGTTGTTTTCATAGAGTTCAAGAGAAAACGCGTTGGCTGGTTCAGTGGAGTTGTGAATGAGATGAACTTTACGCAGGTTGGCTGCTATCTTGTTTTTTTTTCTACGGACAAGGACTGCAGTGCAGTGTGCCTAATTGAACATTTTGTTTAACTGTAATTCCAATTTTATCGCGTCCTTATTTGGGGAAAGTTCTGGAGCAGACTGTGCAAACCACAGTGCAGTCTTTTTTTTTTTGTAAGTTTGTGAAGTTTGAGGAGGAACCCGCCTCCACATTTCACACTGTTTGAAGTAAGGATTCAGCTAAACTTCAGCCGACTGGAGCGAGAGCACCTGGGGGGAATTTGGCAGTAGCGTGACCGGGTGAAGATGCTCTCAGCGTGGATACACCGCGACCAGCCTCCCGCTCCCTTTCTCGGTTTAGTTGTACTCTGCGCAACCTTTGTGATCCATGCAGGTACGAGCATTTTTTCAGTTTAAGAAATTGTACTAAACACTTCATTATACATTCAGTCTTTAAACATACGGTAGCGCAGGAGTGTGTTTTCTAAGCAGGCATTCATAGGCTACATACGTACACACCCAAAACACAGATAAGTTTAGTGATAGTGAGGTCGTCAAGCAGGATTTGTATTTCCCAACATTTGACGACTATCAAGTATTAGGGATGCCTTTTGATTTTCTTTTATATAATCAGATGATTCATGGGTCGTTTAAAAGAAAGCTACATTGGCCTATTAGGCTACACTTTTTATTGGTTAAAACTAACTGCTACCTTGCTAAATCATTAATAGAGGAATTATGGAGAAACATGCATTGAACAATTGCTTGTGTTGTTCCACATTACTAAATCTATCCACACATTATATCTTAATTATAACAGGTGGCACTGTTCAATTTAAATATTAAAACATGTGCAGTGGTCTATCCATCCATCTATCGAGCATGTGATAGGTAACTAAGAACCAGATGAAGGGATGTGACTGCTGCATGTGCACTCATCTCTCTCTCTCTCTCTCTCTCTCTCTCTCTCTCTCCCTTCAGAGAGGAATATTCTGTTGATCTCCTCTCTTTCTGCTTGCCATGCTGAGCTTCCAAGTAGCGGATAAAAAGCAGAACCCCTGGTGTTCATGGAGTAATTAAGGTTTAGCTCAATGCCTTCCTGGCTCCTGAAAGACAGAAAAAATAATAAACCTTGTACAAAAAAGGAAACAACATCTGAGGGAAAGCAGAGATAGTCAGTTCTGAATTTAAGTGTGCTGCTTTAAAATCTGTCCCTCTCTTTTATTTAACTTTTTGGGTTTGATGTAGTTTATGGTTATGTTTAGCACATACTCTTGATTAAGTGGTGGTAGTCATTTCCCTGAAGATGTTTTTAAAGCTTAATTTTGTATTGAGTAATAAATTGTCAAAAGTAGCTTAATTTCGTTGTAATCACTGATGTAATATGCAAGGCCTAAGATGCCCACTACTGCTTACGGACTTTGTATAGAAGAATTTGGAGGAAACAAAGTGGATTTGGCAGCAATGATTGTGCAGCAAGTTCCACATCCCTCTAAAACTCATTCTGAAAATGAATAATAAAAATAACCAAACCATTTGCTGACATCTTTGACAAGTTATGGATGTAATACATACATATCATACAAAGGAGAAATATTCAGGAGTAGATCATGTTGTGATGTGTTATTGTTTCTGCATGAAGGCTAGCTTGCCTTCTGTCTGACCTTAGAAGTGATGGGAAGCAATGAAGCGTCAAAGAAATCTCTCTCCCTCTCTGCGCTCTGGCCACATATGTAATCAGATTGACATGGAATTGCACATTCAAAGCGTTTAGCTGATTGGTTTTCCAATGGGAGTTAGAAATCGGAAAGAAAAAGGACAGGTTTGACTTAACTTAAGATGTGGAGATGGATGTGTACTGTAGTTTAAGTGTCCTTCCCCTTAATGAACTACCTGTAGAAGAGTCCGTGGTAGAAAGAAAACATGCCTATTTCGTCCTGGTGGTTTTAATAGGAATGAAACCGGGGATAGTTGTCTCACAGGGAATAAGTCTAAAAATAACTATAAGGGTTTGAATTTGATCTGAAAAGCTGAAAACTGTTCTGAGGATATTTATTTGGGCAAGTTGTCACGCATGTTTTTTAATGTTATACATAGATAAAAATTTCCATTGGTGTTTTTGCACATCAGCTTCTAGAGTTTTGCTGTTTTATGAATTGAATTGTGTTTTATAATTGATTTCCTGTTAAAATTTTACAATAGAGTGTTGTGACACATAATACTGTAGTGAGACAACATGTCCTGCTGGATGTGTGTTCAGTGATCTGCGTCTTTTGTCCTAAACAATAACAGTGTAAATGTTCAGTTGCTTTTTTGTGTAATCAAGAGACAGAAAAGAACTAGATAAACCCAGAAATATTCACAGTCATATAAAAGTGTGACAATTTGTCCCGGTCTCCCCTATACAGTATGCGAGAAACTCATTGCATACATCAACCGTTTGCAGAAGCCCGACTCTCGTTGAGGAGATGCCATATTTCATATCATCCATAAAACATCAGAGTCAAGATGGATAACGTTTATCTTCTCTCTCATTCTGTCCATTCCTGTATTCTGCCTTTCCCCCCTCCTGTCTGTCTGTATTGTGGATGTGCTGAGCTCAGATTTCCTGTATGGTACAGCTCTCTTAGTGTTGACATACACATTAATTACCCAGACTGCCAGGAACCCATTTCTGTCTCCTTTGCCCCATCAGCTTTTCTCCTCCCTGTTTGTGTGTGTGTGTGTGTATGCATACAAGTGTGTTTGTTTGGCAGAACATTCCTGTATACACGCTTGAGCTGGATCGAGACGGGAGACGTGTACTGTTGTGTAAGTAATGGAGTCGCACTGTCTGGATTTGCGTGCGCGTGTTTTGGGAGTTGGAGAAGATAACACACTCAAGACTGCTCTGAACTCAATAGGATTAAGTTTAGGCCCAGTGGCCAGCACTGCTGGTTGAAAAGTGGGCGGGGATAGGTCAAGCTGAAGTGCCTAAGGTCAAGATGGAGGAGGGAGGTGTGCTCTTGCATGCCCATCATGTTTGGAGAGCATAACATGTCGGATCCTCCCAGTCAAGGCTGCCGGAATTCTCCGCTGGTAGTCCAGGGCGTGGGGGGATAATTGGTTATCTCTGTGAACAGGTCATCTGTGGTTGAGTTTGCTTGCTGTGTAATGTAAGATACACATAGCAAAATTCAGTTTTCAATGCAAAATCTACAAAAGGCAGAAAGGAGCGAGAACTTAAGAGAACCAGTAAGCCTTGCAATTAGGTTTAGAGGAAGGGAAATGCGAAGGAAAGAATGCATGGATTTGTGCGAGGTCTGGCGGAGATCTGAACCGCCAGTCTTGTGGTGTGCATTAGCTTTATGGCCACTGTGGGAGGCAGAGAGAGGGGTGAGGAGAAGGCATTGGAGGAGATCGCTGGTTTTCAACTCACCCCCCATACTGTATTATTCATCACTGTAAAGTGGCCCTCTTTAATATTTTAAAGCAGTCTATGGTTGTGTCTGTGATCTGTTTATGATGCAATCGAATCCTTAAGTAGTATTGGACATGTGTCGTCTGTGCATGCAGGCGTGAGTGTGTCGGGACAGACACTTGTTGAGTTGTTAGTATTATTGCCTGACTTGATTACATCCTGAACTGTCAGATGATTTTCAACATATCTGTATCAGTCAGTACTTATTATTATTATATTATTATTTTATTACATTTTAACTATACACATGTACATAGTACATTACCATGTAACAGAACAAAAAACAACAACAACAACAACAACAAAAAAGCTTCTCAGTATTTTACATTGATATTCAATACCACCTCTTTTCTTAGTCTTCTATTAACACCTTTCCAACTTAACCACATTTTAAGAATGATCTGAATGGTCCCCAAACTCCATCAAAAACTCTATATTTATCCCTTAAAATATAAGTTATCTTTTCCATTGACATATTTGTTACCATTTCTTTTAGCCAACATCCTATACTTGATGTACAAATACTTTTCCAAATTTAAAGAAATAAGCCGTTTTGCTAGAAGAATACATATAATCATGAATATATACTCTTTCTTTTTTTACTTGATCACCTTAGGATATTAAGGAAATAAAAAAGTGAAGGTGACATTGGAATGTTAACATCAAGGATCATTTCTTTCACACCTTTCCAAAAATTCTTGGCTTTTACTCCCGAAATGATATAATGTACCTTTAAACTCACTGCATCTTTTAAGTGTCAGGGACATTTTCATTATATATATATATAATATATATATATATATATTATACACTGAAGACCAAGTAATAACCACTCAGCTTTGCCATTACACGGATAAATTGCATTTTAAAATATATGAAAATAGAAAACTTTTTCAAATTGTTTATTTTTCACAATTTTACATTTTTACTGTTGCTGCACGATTAATCATATCGCAATCGTAATCGCGATGTCAAGCCTATGCGATTATATGACGCAAAATACTGCGATTTTATATGAAATAAACAAATTAGGGCTGTTAACGCAGCATCTGTTATTTTTTGTCATCCTTTGGCTAGTGTTACATGATCCCGCTCTTATTCTTAAACCATTCAGCGAGACAAGTCAAAAGAGCGCGCTGCCTGTGAATGTCCTGACTGAAAGACGCGCGCCAGTATCATGCGCATGCACAGACCGCGCGCCAGAATACAGTTCTCTTTCCGCTTGAAGTGAACGAACAATAACACACACAAGCACAATTATGCCAAAATATCATTTGTCGAGTGTCTTCATAACATAAGAGCAGTCTTATGATGGTCGTAAAAGTTGTGAGAGAATAAGGCGCGTGTGAGATCCGCGTCTCTGTCAGCAACTCTTGCTTTCTGTCAGTAAAGTTAATCAAAGAACAAAGGGAAACGAGAAAAACACTCACTGCTCTTGACCAAATAACTTGTGTAGCTTTAAATAGGATTTTAGTCCATATCATTTATAATTTATGCAGCGCAGACTGTTTGATAACTTTATTCAATTTCTGTATATGTCCTACCTGTTAGACAGGAAGAGCACAGGTAAACATATCATTTATTATGGGTTTATGCGAGGATTGTTTGAAGTTCACTTAAATTAAAATTAAATTATTTTTTATCCAGACATCAATGGCTTATTGATCATTATAGGTGTTGTCAATCATTTAGTTGTTGTTGGTAGTTTGAGTTGAGAAAAACACATTTCAGAATTATCACTAATCTGTGTGTGCATTTTGCTTTAGAACCAAGCAAGTTGACACATTTGTTTATTATATCGCATATCGCATTATTGACCTCAATAATCGCAATATGACATTTTCCCCAAATCGTGCAGCCCATTTTTTACTGTATTTTTTTAATCATAATTATGGTGCAAATTTATGGTGGTGTACATGCACGCCAGTGCATCC